TTTGTGATTGTCAAGAAGTCAGGGTATGAGGAGAGAAATCTCTCATCTTTTATTAATTTTAAACTTGCCTCACTATCTAACTCAGTATTATATTTTACTGATCATGTAGAAATTGTCTAGCTAGACACAACGTCTTTTATTACTCAGTGGGCATCAGTGTATCGTTGCAGCCCTACTATTTCTATAATTGTTTATGTCAAGACGTCTCTGAAACTATCGTTGTTTATTTTAGAGTAAAGATGGCTACCCCGAACCAGTATTTTAGTGATGTAGAGAAGGAGGATATTGATGACCTGTGTACATGGTCTGGGGAACTCTATCTTGAAATGCACAATGGAACCTACACCACTCACGCTGAGGTGGGGAATTTCTTATATACTAAGTATTTGCCAAGCTAGGGGTGCTCAATAGGAGAGTTCTGAACAGGTTTCCTCTGTTCTAATTCCAGCCTTAATCAAACGGTTCAGAAGAGGAATAATAATAATAATAATAATTATAATATCTTTATTATAAAAGGGTAGAAAATTAGGCCATTCAATATCAATGATCATCAAGATAAGATCCTGAGTACCCACTGATATTATGTCACATTCAAAATGTTTCCATCTATTTCCTTCTCCACCATTTTGAATTCTGTCTACACCATTTTCGGCACATGTGGATTGCGTTCTGAACTCTGTTCCAACTTGTTTTATTGAATCCAAAACGTTCTGAATATTCCATGATTCATAAACGTGCAGAACTCACCAATCAAGCTACCGCAATCCCTGTCTTTGATTATTAGAGTGTTTGATTGCAGAATAACCTGAAGCAAGACTTTCATTTTAAAAAGTGAAACTAGTATCTGAAATGATGTTTAATCAGCTGGTATGTTACAAAACTGAGCCATTGATCTGCCCTATTGATCTGCTCTATTGATCTGCTCTATTGATCTGCTCTATTGATCTGCTCTATTGATCTGCTCTATTGATCTGCTCTATTGATCTGCTCTATGTATCTGCTCTATTGATCTGCTCTATTGATCTGCTCTATTGATCTGCTCTATTGATCTGCTCTATTGATCTGCTCTATGTATCTGCTCTATTGATCTGCTCTATGTATCTGCTCTATTGATCTGCTCTATGTATCTGCTCTATTGATCTGCTCTATTGATCTGCTCTATTGATCTTCTCTATGTATCTGCTCTATGTATCTGCTCTATGTATCTGCTCTATTGATCTGCTCTATGTATCTGCTCTATTGATCTGCTCTATTGATCTGCTCTATTGATCTGCTCTATTGATCTTCTCTATGTATCTGCTCTATGTATCTGCTCTATGTATCTGCTCTATGTATCTGCTCTATGTATCTGCTGTATTGATCTGCTCTATTGATCTGCTCTATTGATCTGCTCTATTGATCTGCTCTATTGATCTGCTCTATGTATCTGCTCTATTGATCTGCTCTATGTATCTGCTCTATGTATCTGCTCTATTGATCTGCTCTATGTATCTGCTCTATTGATCTGCTCTATGTATCTGCTCTATTGATCTTCTCTATGTATCTGCTCTATGTATCTGCTCTATGGATCTGCTCTATGAATCTGCTCTATTGATCTGCTCTATGTATCTGCTCTATGTATCTGCTCTATGGATCTGCTCTATGTATCTGCTCTATTGATCTGCTCTATGTATCTGCTGAGATAAATTTGAATATATTTTTTGTGTTAAAGGTAAAGAAACAGAATCGTAAATGTGAGGTTTTGTTACATGACGTAGAGTTTCTGGCTACCATGGCAACAGTATCAGGAGATTATGACTACCCTCGTAAAGAATTAGATAGACTGTGGAAATTATTATTATTAAACCAATTCCACGATGTTTTACCAGGATCTTCTATTGGAATGGTAAGTTGGAATTTATTTTTCACTATTATAGAGTTTTACCTTCGTATTTTACAATGTTGAAATTGTGCTTGTGATTTCCAAAAACTAAACTAAAGCCTTAGACCAGTGGTTCCCAACCCTTTTCAGCCTTCACACCCCTGGAACAATCACCTGGACCTTTTACACCCCCAAAAATTTGTTTCTCCCCCGGGGGGTGAAAACAACCCAGGTTGGGAACCAGGGCCTTAAAGTGAGCTAATGCTGCTATCCTTGTAAAATTTCCCTCATTGCACACTGCATGGCACTCCCCCCTCCTCAACACATGTAGAAAAGTGGGACCTTAAACTCCTATTTCATTATGTATTCTATGTTTTGGCTATTGAAGATGGGCAGTGTGCAGTGAGGTAAATTTTCGAGGAATGCTATGTTAGACCAGTCCTTTAAATGTGTAACTTTAAAAGTGCATACCTTAATCTTCTCCAATTTCAATTTTTCAAATTTTAAAATGAGATTGAGGAAATGTTTATATTTTATGATATTTATATCTAGGTATACGAGGATGCCCACAGATATTATAGAGGTCAGTACAGTTCTAAACTAGATAGAAATAGTAGGGCAAATTTAAATTGTGACATTCTGCTTTCTGTTTGTAAAAATAGTCCAGATTAATGTATATTAGTAACTTTCAGTTGATACTTGTATCAAAAGAAAGAAAGAAAGAATTAGTTATTCCAAGGATAACAACTTAGGTTCACAGTTAAGGATCCTTTCTACCTGTTGGTCCTTAGCCAAACCTCTTGGCATTGATCTTTCCAGATTATCAGTACCCGTTTACATCTGGGTCAACTATAAGGGGTAATATTAAACACAATATTGATGTATCTGAGTATTTATACTATAAAAATATATATTTGTAGATATTGTGGACTCTGGAAAGTTATTATTAGATTCAGCTGTATCAACCCTGACATCGGTAAATATTCATTCTTTAGTTTTAGTTCTTTCTGATTCCAGTTCCTAAATAATTTATTTTAAGTTTCCCTAGAAACACCACTAATATCTGTATCAGAAGATTGTTGACATGTCTAGAAGTCTCCCAAAATCCAAAAAATCCAGTTGATATTCCGGAAAAATTCCTATTATTACTATAGTAATGCCTTTTTTCTTTTATTCAGAAAGCCAAGAAAACTGTAGTTGTAAATACGTTGGGATGGACTAGATGTGAGATTATCTCCCTTCCTAGTTCACTCTCCAGTCCATTGAGGAAGAAACAGAAAGGTGGAAGTAATGACGATCAGATTGATTTTAACGGCAACACTTTAGGTATAAAATATTGTTATACCCCATGACCTACTCTCTTTTCCAAATGTGCCTGTGGAATACATTAATATGGATGGATTGTGCGCTAGGGAATACAGCCAATCGGAGTCCTCAACAGAAAGTCTGTAAACAGTAATCCATAGTGCTTATAGTTTTTCTAACATGGGCTCTGATTGGCTGTATTAGCTGGCTTACAATCAAATCAAATCGATATATACTTTAAGACGGCATTCATAGTAGCTTGACATTGAGAAGATGAAGTTTGTAATAGCTTGATATTGTGAAGATGAAGTTTGTAATAGCTTGACATTGTGAAGATGAAGTTTGTTATAGCTTGATATTGTGAAGATGAATTTTGTAATACCTTGACATTGAGAAGATGAAGTTTGTAATAGCTTGATATTGTGAAGATGAAGTTTGTAATAGCTTGATATTGTAAAGATGAAGTTTGTAATATCTTGACATTGTGAAGATGAAGTTTTAATAGCTTGACATTGTGAAGATGAAGTTTGTAATAGATTGACATTGTAGAGATGAAGTTTGTAATAGCTTGACATTGAGAAGATGAAGTTTGTAATAGCTTGACATTGTGAAGTTGAAGTTTGTAATAGCTTGACATTGTAGAGATGAAATTTGTAATAGCTTGACATTGTAGAGATGAAGTTTGTAATAGCTTGACATTGAGAAGATGAAGTTTGTAATAGCTTGACATTGTGAAGATGAAGTTTGTAATAGCTTGACATTGTGACGATGAAGTTGGTAATAGCTTGACATTGAGAAGATGAAGTTTGTAATAGCTTGACATTGTAGTGATGAAGTTTGTAATAGCTTGACATTGTAGTGATGAAGTTTGTAATAGCTTGACATTGTGAATATGAAGTTTGTAATAGCTTGACATTGTGAAGATGAAGTTAGTAATAGCTTGACATTGTAGTGATGAAGTTTGTAATAGCTTGACATTGTGAAGATGAAGTTTGTAATAGCTTGACATTGTGAAGATGAAGTTAGTAATAGCTTGACATTGTAGTGATGAAGTTTGTAATAGCTTGACGTTGTAAAGATGAAGTTTGTAATAGCTTGACATTGTGAATATGAAGTTTGTAATAGCTTGAAATTGTGAAGATGAAGTTAGTAATAGCTTGACATTTTGAATATGAAGTTAGTAATAGCTTGACATTGTGAAGATGAAGTTAGTAATAGCTTGAAATTGTGAAGATGAAGTTAGTAATAGCTTGACATTGTAGTGATGAAGTTTGTAATAGCTTGGCATTGTGAAGATGAAGTTTGTAATAGCTTGATATTGTGAAGATGAAGTTTGTAATAGCTTGACATTGTGAAGATGAAGTTTGTAATAGCTTGACATTGTGAAGATAAAGTTTGTAACAGCTTGACATTGTAGTGATGAAGTTTGTAATAGCTTGACATTGTGAAGATGAAGTTTGTAATAGCTTGATATTGTGAAGATTAAGTTTGTAATAGCTTGACATTATGAAGATGAAGTTTGTAATAGCTTGACATTGTGAAGATGAAGTTTGTAATAGCTTGACATTGTGAAGATGAAGTTTGTAATAGCTTGACATTGTGAAGATGAAGTTTGTAATAGCTTGACATTGTGAAGATGAAGTTTGTAATAACTTGACATTGTGAAGATGAAGTTTGTAATAGCTTGACATTGTGAAGATGAAGTTTGTAATAGCTTGACATTGTGAAGATGAGAGATCATATTTTTATATTGTTATTTTGTATGATTCTTATACTTTGTAGTTTACACATCAGCTCCTAGTTATGGATTATCTGCCCTTGATTCTCCATCAGAGTTACCTTCTCCTGTTACAGTAAGACAACAGGTAAGTTTGTACCACCTACAGGCTCGAAATGTGATCCTGGCATAATTTGAGATAAAATTTGGGGTAATTAACTGTCAGTATTTCAACAGTTAACACGATTTCATTAGCCCACATGGTGCAGAAAAGTAGGACGTAAAACTCCATTCATTTCATTTCATTTTTAACAGTTGGAAATAAAAACAAGAGTAGGCAGATACTAAGTATTTATTTTTACAGGGTAGCTACATTTACCTTGAAAACAGTTTACTGTCAGCCATCTTGGATTCCAATGGTCGTGTCACTTCCTTGACTACAGCAGATTCCAGCAGGTTAATTTTCATTTTATTTCTAAGACAGGAATACTGTTTGCAAGCCATTCAAACCTATTTGTTTTTAAACTTTCTTAGGGGATGAAGATCCACCCCTCGCAACTCTGGCTCTCAACTCTGGTGCTCAACTCTGGTGTTCAACTCTGGCTCTCAACTCTGGCTCTCAACTCTGGTGCTTAACTCTGGCTCTCAACTCTGGCTCTCAACTCTGGCTCTCAACTCTGGTGCTTAACTCTGGCTCTCAACTCTGACGCTCAACTCTGGCTCTCAACTCTGGCTCTCAACTCTGGTGCTTAACTCTGGCGCTCAACTCTGGCGCTCAACTCTGGCTCTCAACTCTGGCGCTCAACTCTGGCTCTCAACTCTGGCTCTCAACTCTGGTGCTTAACTCTGGCTCTTAACTCTGGCTCTCAACTCTGGCTCTCAACTCTGGCTCTCAACTCTGGCTCTCAACTCTGGCTCTCAACTCTGGTGCTCAACTCTGGCTCTCAACTCTGGCTCTCAACTCTGGCTCTCAACTCTGGCTCTCAACTCTGGCTCTCAACTCTGGCTCTCAACTCTGGCTCTCAACTCTGGTGCTCAACTCTGGTGTTCAAGTATTTTCTAAGTTTATTAAGTGTTAATTGTGCGAAAGTAATCAATTTAAATATCTAAAACATCCCAGATTTAATTAATACTTCCCACTTTTTACCCTGAATTAGCCCTAAAATTACCCCATATTTTTTGTCAATGAGTTCTAGACAGTCTGCTCTCCTGGAATTATAGAAAGTTTCTAATACAGTGAACCTCATCACCTAATTAACATCTCACTAGTTTCCAGTTTAAAGATGGGTTCCCTTATTTTTATTTATGAAAATGTTAATACTTATATGAATAGAAAATAAAGGTGTTCTAATGACTTGGAAAAATACCAGTTTGTCTCACATATCTATAATTGATTCATAATTAGCTAAATTAGAAGAGAATTACTAGCAGAATTCCACCAATCAAGAAAGGTCAAAAAGTCTTTTTTTGTTTAAACAGACTGTTCATACATGGACATTTATGACTGGTTAAAAAATCTTAATTATATGAAATAAAAACATAATGATATGATTAAGAATACATGATAATTCATTAGAAACTCCAATTAATCAAATAGTTTGCTTAATTTGACACTAAAAAATAAGGAAACCCATCTTTAATATAAACAACAATATTGTATTCACAAGAAATATGTACAGACTTTTTCTTACCCGGGTTTTATGAAGTTACAAATGAGGCATGAGCAGTTCTTCCGTCACTAAGAGAATTCATGCTTGTTCAAATATTTTGAGAATGCCTCCTGTATTTTCAGGTTTCTCTGTAAAACAGGAAAATATCTTAAAGTTAGACTAACTTGTGGAAAAATTAATTTCTCCTAAATAATCTCATTATCAACTTTCTGAAATTTTTACCAATTCTATCCCATAATATTATTCATATTTCCAGAAATTTGATAAATGGAGAACATCCAGCCAATCAGATTGTGTTGTTTGATGATATACCGTTATACTGGGATGCCTGGGATGTCATGGACTATCATCTAGAAACCAGGTAACATTTTAACACTAGGGCATTATGATGGATATCGTAGGCTGGCAAACATTTTTGATCAAATTTATCTTAACTATACACCAATATCTAGACGTTTCAACACAAATTACACGTGTAAAAACAGAGCCCAGGGGGTTCAAAATACTTACATAACCAGATAAGACTTTTGCAGCTGTTTGTGACTTAACGCTCGGATATATATTAAGTTAAAAGGGGCATCTTCTAGTTTGATACATTTCATGCTCCAAAAACAGTAGAATTCCCCTTTAACATCAATATAGATAATATTACTATGTTTCATCACAATCCAATCCAAACAGAAATCTCTATTGTTTTTAGAAGCAAATTGAGACATAAACAAACCTAACTCTGTGTCACATTCACAAGCTATTTTAGGCTAAGTCACCGTAAAAAAAAAAATATAGACTCCAACTTACAGGAGTTACTGTGCTTCTATTTTGTTTTTTTTTGTTCCAGAAAAGTTGTAGATACAGTTAACCAGTCAGCTGAGATTTTAGACAAAGGTCCACTTAGAGTCACCATCAAGGTAATGTTTGATAAACATGTAATAAAATTTTACAGACTTTGTTTGATTTTAGAATTTAGTCCCTAAATTCTAGACGTATTAATTCAATATTTACCAAAAGTGACCAACTATTACTTCAAATGTTTTTCTAATATTCTCATTATGTGTATGTTACTATGCTAGACAAGTATATCAATATATTCTAGGTGTGTTTGAGAATATCTGCTGTTAGTTCATTAGAACAGTATATTATACTAGATGCTGGATGTCCCTATATTAAATTTATCAACAAGGTGAGTATCATCTATACAGTTGACCTTGTTGACCTGTGTTACCATGCTTCTCTCCACATCTCTTTTTATACTTTTATATGCCCAGAAATTTTAACCCTTGATAACACTTATATTATGTTAAATGTAGATCTTGATAACACTTATATTATGTTAAATGTAGATCTTGATACACTTATATTATGTTAAATGTAGATCTTGATACACTTATATTATGTTAAATGTAGTTTGTGAATGCTATAAAGGTCAGAATTGTCAGGTAAAAAAGATACTTGAAACTCCAATCAATAAAATTATCAAGATAGAAATATTAAAACAGAACCTGAAACATGTTGTTATTCAGAATTTCAGGCTATGCTATCTGACAACAGACCAAGATATATATATAGATAATGGATGATTTTTAGTAACAATAATAGTTATAACTCCATTTGTTAATTCCTGTGTTTTTTCAGGTATCATGGCATGAAAATCGTAAGTTTTTAAAAGTGGAATTTCCGACTAGTATCCATACCAACCATGTTTCATTTGATATTCAGTTTGGATTTTTACAACGACCTAATAACTACAACACGTCCTGGGACTCAGCCAGATTCGAGGTAAGTTTTAATTGTAATACTGTGGTCTGAAGATACCAAGTCTGTATTCAGAGTTATCTCCCTTGAGAGAGTGGTGGTTAGCCTTGAGATGGTGATCAGAATTCATTGAAATTTTGAATGAAAGCCATCCTGGCTGGTAATGAGGATTGTGTTGTGTTATTTAATGTCATCTCTATATCATCTTTATTTATCTCTTCCTTTCACACTTGAACAAAACAAACACCTACTCCTTTTACTACAGTCAAGTAACCTAATTTCGTGGAAACCTATTATTCGTGGATTTCCGGAAAGGATTAATAATTTACATGAGCGACCTTGCGCGACCTCCGCATTAGTTTGTTTTAATAAACATGGGTTTTCTGTACAATATCAGCTAATAGAATGAATCCAGTAGTTTCAAGCAAGGTAAAATGTATTGATGTATACTTTGACAAATACAAAATGGCGGATTTCAGTTATTACCAAACGTCACCATTTTTTATCAGCCGAATTTCCTTATAATCCCAATCGGTAATCGGAATTCCAAGTGTCGTCTGCTAGAATATATTCCAACGAATGAAGTCAAGTGATCAACTAGCATTCTGCCGCCGTTGTCGAGTTGGTTACACATGAAATATGGGTCAAAGTGAAGGATTCATAAAGAAAATCGAAATAAACCAATTTTAATTATTTTGTAGAATATCTGAGGAAACATCTAAGACATAAAAAAAAAATATCGTTTTTTTATCTTTGACGAAATTCGGTGTTGAATCCTTATATCCACGAAAATAGGTTACACCACTGTATATAAAGGATTTTTTCCATGTTGCTCACTGAAAGAATTAACAGGTTTATTATTAAATTGTCTTCCATAAAATACTTCCTGTTTGATTTGAATGCCTAATCCAGCATCATTTGAATCTTCACTAGAATTATAGAATACGTTTCAATCAAGCAAGCTATCTGCCAGCTACATGACCTTCTCTCCCAAACTATCTTTATATATGATCTGCCAGCTACATGACTTTCTCTCCCAAACTATCTTTATATATGATCTACTATTTATATTTTCAGGTTTGTGGTCATAAATGGGCTGATATATCTGACTATAATTCTGGTCTAGCCGTATTAAATGATTGTAAATATGGATATTCTGCTGTAGACGGGATCATCAGGCTTTCATTGTGAGTTATTGTAATAACCGCGTTATATCTTAACTATAATAGTACAGACCTGTAAGTCGCCTCTGTCACTGTTGACTGATAGAAACCACTGTCATGATATTTTCAGCTTATTGCGGAGGTGGAACAGCAGCCTAATGTTCAACAGTAGTCAACTTTTCAATTAAGTTTAAAGGGACAGGTGCGCCATTTTTTTGAACAATCATACTTTAGTCTCAGAAACTAAGGCAATCAGTAATAGTGTTCACAGCTCACTGTCAAAATTTGAGACTGTCCAGAATAATCAGTGTGTGAAAGTTAAAATGACGACTCGTCAATTTAAGATACTCTGTGATATATAGAAAAGATATATATAGATATAGAGAGTAAAATTCCTAGTTTGAAGTATTTTTAAAGGAATTATGTGATTTTCGTACATTTCTAGTACATCTGAAGACTATTTACATATATTCAAGACTCAAATCAACCCCCTAAAATGGCGTAACCAGTTCCTTTAAGTTGAAGTATTGAGCACTACGTATTTTACCAGTGAGAATTTTTTGTTATTAAACAATTATTAATGTATATTATTTCATATTGAAACAGACTTCGTTCACCGAAAGCACCAGATGAAAATGCCGATATGGGGGAGCATGAATTTACCTACGCCATCATGCCCCATCAAGGTATGTTGACATTATATTTCACTGTTAGATTGATACGAAATGTACGTTATTTTTCCTTAAAGAAATATAAAGATTTAAAGACATTAAAGACATCTTAAACATTTTGTATAACGTAGAAACTGATAGAATCAAATTACACTATTCTTATTTTCAATTAAACATCCATGGTTCTAGCAATAACACTGAGTGTTTGATGAAGTCACTCTTACAGATATTATTAGCAGCTTCATTGAAAGAGATAGTCTACTTGCTTGTTAACAATTTTAACAAGCTTCAATTGGTATCACTGACCTGGAATTTGGGATGAAAAAGTTTCAAGTTATGACCATCTTGAAGTGTCTATAACAAACCTTGCTGTTTACAAACTTCTGTAATACAAATGAAATGAAATGAAATGAATGGAGTTTTACATCCTACTTTTCTGCGCCATGCAGGGTACAACGAGGGAAATTTTGCCAGGACAGCAGCATTAACCTGCTCTTTTTCAATTTCCAAATATCGAAGGATCTTTAACGTGCACAGCCTGTAGCACACAGGGCCTCGGTTTATTGTCCCATCCAAATAACTAGACACTTTTTCCATGTCAGCCCTCCTTACCTACATCACTGACAGGGGAAAACTCTATAATACAAGAAAGGTGAATATTACAGTCAAGATATTTTTCTGTTCTTTTACAGGAAGTTTACAGTCTAGTGGAGTAATACAACAATCATATAATTTAAATAGTCCCTTACTAGTTCAAACAGGAGACATATCACCTACTAGTTATTTTAGTATCAATACACCACAAATTATACTTGATACCGTTAAACTGGTAGGTACTGACTAGAAATGATTTCATGCTGCTGACATGTTTCAAATACACAATCCTCATCAGGACAGATTACAATATAGTACTTAATGTTAGCTAATCTTCATCAGGACACCTTGTTTTAGAAATAGAGGTTAATTTTCCAATATAGGACTTAATGTTAGATAATATAGAGGGGACGTTAACATGATCTGAGCCCATTTTCCATGGCAGTAGTCGCATGATGGCCTTTCCGGTTTGACAGAGCCATTAGTTTTTATAACAAGTGCACTAACTAACTGAATAATTCTACTGACTATTATTTGAATACAGAGTGAAGATAGTAAAAAGAAAATAGTATTAAGACTTTATGAAAGTTTTGGTGGAAATACAACAGCTACTATTTCTACACCATTAAAAAATTTGACAGTTCAAAGGTACGTTGGATATTCTTATAGTTTTTAACTAGGACTTGGTTTGATAACTCAGCAACTACTTGACTGTTATCTTCTAAATCATTGTCAAATGGTTTGACCAAGAACTAGCCAAGTTGTTATCCTTGTACAATCACTGCCAAGAGTTTTGGTCAAAGATCAGCTGATAGACAGGATTTCAGAGAATCTGAATTGTTATCCTTTGAAAATCATTGTCAAGATTAGCTGGTAGAAAGTATCTTAGAGAACCTGTTAATATTTTTGTAAAATCATTGCTAAGATGGTTCTTTACCAAGATCCTAGAGAACCAGAGTTCTTATCCTTGTAAGATCCATGTTAAGAGTTTTGGTCATGGTCCAGCTGGTAAACATGGCTTTAAGAATGATTAAGTATTAATATATTTGTAGATGTAACTGTCTAGAAGAAGTAACAGAAGATCAGAAGAAGATAGAAGTAAAGTCTACAGGAGAAGTTTCTACAATAACTCTACAGTTTCAACCATTTCAACTTCTCTCTCTACTTCTTACATTCTAACTTCCTTCACTTATTCCTTCTGGTAACTCTCTATTACTTCTCAGAATAACAATCTGGCACCTGGTTCATCTACAATCATTATTTTCATCTTTAATCTTGTAATTAATTTTATTAGAATTATATAAATAAGTAAACCAAGTACTAACGTTCGAAATCGAAACCTGAAATCTAAAACAACATTTTGAAGAAACATTTGGCAGCTAATGAACTTTTCACATGAGGAAGTATATCAATCATAATTAAGTAAATATTTCATAATGTAAAGTGGTATCAGGTGTTGAGACTATTATTCAACAAATCTTAACTATGCAGTCGCTTTTTTACATTCTTAGTTGTTAAAGCCACACCCTTTTCAATACATAGAGGAGATCATTTTTCACTATCATCCATATAACACTCGTTACCCTGGTATATTGTATAGGGACCGTCATATTGAAAAATAAAATAGGTTGGTTGTTTCTGTTCATTTTGGGGGCATGCTTATGCTTATTGGTCCATGCCGCATTCGTATGAACTTCGGGACTAGACTACTGCTAGTTACCCTCGTATATTGTACGGAGATCGCCATATTGAAAAATAAATAGTTTGATTGTTGAGGTGAAGATCTATATTAATGATGTATAACATTGTATTAAGGTAATTTATTTTTGATATTTTGATCTTTGTTGATTTATACAGTATGTTAATGATATATAAGATTGTATTTGTTGATTTATACAGTATATTAATGATTTATAAGATTGTATTTGTTGATTTATACAGTATGTTAATGATTTATAAGATTGTATTTGTTGATTTATACAGTATGTTAATGATTTATAAGATTGTATTTGTTGATTTATACAGTATGTTAATGATTTATAAGATTGTATTTGTTGATTTATACAGTATGTTAATGATTTATAAGATTGTATTTGTTGATTTATACAGTATATTAATGATTTATAAGATTGTATTTGTTGATTTATACAGTATGTTAATGATTTATAAGATTGTATTTGTTGAGGTGAATATCTATGTTAATGATATATTATATTAGCTTATATATATATTACATACCATTTATTTTTTCTCTTAAAATTAGTTTTTAACCATTTTCTCACTTAGTCTACTTTTTTTAAAAGGTACAAGTTAAGACGTCCTTACACTATAGTGATTACTAGTTGTGTATGGTTGTAAATAATGAAAGTGATCTTGAGTTCTGAACACAGCTTACAACTCAGTTATATGAGAGTTTGTTTGAAACTAATGACAGCTATTCTTATTTACAACCCTACGTAACTGGTGATCACCATGGTGTCAGGAGACCTGAGGAATAAGTATGACAACAGAGTAAATATGGTGCCAGCGCCACTCAATATGTTAATATGAAAAGACTTTATAACTGTATTTATTACACAGTGTTATTAAATAACAAACTCAGTTTATTTTATAAAATATTGTTCATGATGTCTTCAACCATTCAGAATATTTACTGGCTTATTATAGCTCTCCTCTGAACATACCTTATGTTCACATCACAAAATCCCAGCGATGATTGGCTGGCGTTATGATCAAACAGATGATTGTTCAAACGGCCTGTCTTTAGACCCTAACTGAAGTGGCTATATTAGAAATGAAATTTAATAAAAAACGGAAAGAAAATTTGGTGTAATTTGAGTTCTGCTTGGATTATAATGGGTCACATGATTACAGTTTGAGAGTTCTTTTCTCCAGATTCATCTCATACTTCAACAGTTGTGAGGGGTTGTGAATTAAACATACATCACTTTCTCAAAATTATAAATCATCTTTACATCTATGGTTAAAAAGTTTTAACGGAGTTGTCAGATTTTTATCCCAAACATTGACTTATCCTCTATCTTTCTCAAAACTGCCAATCCTGAAGTTCATCTTGCTTATATTTTGGTTTTAAAACACAAATTTCTCACTAGATAAAAATCATCATCACACACCCTCATCTAAACAGTCTAAATTTAAAAACGGAAAGTTAACTTGTTGTTCTATCCAGTTGCCTAGCAACAAGACTTTATCGTCATGGAGATGTGGTGCCAGGATCTGGATTCCAATTGGTAATTGATCAGTAGAAAGACTGACTGGAAGAGTAAGTGCTGGGATTCCTGAAAATATTGGAAAAAACAAAACGTTAGCTTGGACAAATTTATTGACTTGGAAACATTTAATTGAAAAGATTCAAAAAAACCTTTGTACTTGAATAGACAATAGACACTTATTCCATGTCAGCCCCTTCGACCTGCATCACTGACTGAGGGAAAACCGGGTTGAAAAATCCGAAGGTATTATCTCTACCTATGTCAGGATTGAACCCTGGACCAGGTTAACGAGCGTCTACTCACTGAGCCACCACTCTCTCACCGACAAAGGGGAAACTGAGTTATTATCTCAACCTATACTGAGATTGAACCCTGGACCTTCAGGTAAGCCAGCAAGCATCTAATTCACTGAGCCATTCAAAGGTATTATCTTGACCTATGCAGGAAGTGAACCCTGGACCTTCAAATTAGCAAGCAAGCAAGTTACACATGTGAACATTAATGACATTTTCCCGAAAGTTTTCCTACCTGCTAAATTTGAAGGTTGTGTAAAAACATCAAGTTGTGAACAACGTGTCTGATTATCTTCTTCCATAAAATATCGGTATGGTAACGCTGGATTGATGGTTGTCGGGGTAACCAACATATTAACACCAGACTTAAATACTTTCTGAAAATCTTCACTGATTAATCTTCGTATTTTCTGAGCTTGTATAAAATATCGTTCATAATTTCTGAAAGAACAATTTGTGAATTAATCCTTTTAAGACAAGAAACTGGATTATTAACTCTGCGTATTATTTTAATTATTACCAGTCGTGTCGTCAAAAATAAACTTACTCTTTTAATAGAAAATAGTTTCCCGCCATAATTCTACCTCTAACGACGTCGTTGAAGCCATGATGGCGACTCGATGCAAACATTTCTTCTGTTGATTGTTCATTAGTACCTCGATAACCTGAATTACAAATATTCTCATGTTGATCACTTTATCCAAATAGCTTCATTAGGGCCCGCAAATTTTAACCAATCAAATCCTCCATTTTCATGAGCAAGACAAATCTAGCCCTACCCAGTGCCTCTAACATGATATTCATGGGAGATTTTGATGGGAGTTGCTACGACCCATTTTCGGTTCGCTAGTCTAGTCTAGAGAATTTTCACCATGACAGAAGCCCAACTTGGCATCACTTTTGATATTTATACAAAGCTAAACCTAATAAGTCTATCAAGACATTACCAGATATTCTACAATGTCTTTGTGCCACACATATTACCACAATACAGTCTAGAGGTATGTTTTTCTCTTCTTTGTACATCTTAGTAAGTTTAATTCATGCTGTGTGTGAAAGGTCTTATTTGTAAATTGAAAGAGACAGTTTTCACCAGCCCCCTCACCCTCTCCTCCCCCTTTTTGACATACACCCCTGTATTTTTGTTAAAGTTACGCTGCAAGCCTTCAAACATAGGTATGTCATTGCAGGAAGAGCTAAAAACATAATATTTACCGAACTCTATACCATCATATCTAGCCATATTACTAGCTACCTCACAACAACACAATACAGAGTAGACTTTTATAGAATATTGTGTATAGGGTAGCGATACCTGACTGACTTTCGCCCCCGCGTTATCCAACATATCAGCTATCTGACCCCACGTTGTTATAACATCTTCCGTTGTATCGGGGGCATGATATTCCTGGAATTATACAAACAATTGACAGAATATCAGCAGGTCTAATACCAGCCTTGGAGATTGTTAAAGGGATTGTAAAAGGGATTGTTAAAGGGATTGTAAAAGGGCTTTATGTGGGTATCAGGAACACTGATAACATTGATTTCTACCATTCTAATTTTACTTCAGACATCTGTGGTTCTTGTTAAAGAGATTGTAAAGAGGTTTTCTAAAGTTTTTATGTGTATCAGGGACACTGATAGCATTGATTTCTACCATTCTAATTTTCAATCAGATGTCTGTGAGTCTTGCAACAACACTAAAACTAAGTATTTTATTTTTATTTATCTATGTTTTATGACATCAATAACAGCCATTGAGATCGTGAGGTAATATTCAGTTAAGGAATTTCTTGAATAACAAGAACCACAGACAACTGATGGAAGATTGGAATAATGCAAATAAAACCAGTAACACCAAAAGAGGTTTTGAAAATTTCAAAGTTTAAATTGTGGAATATATAAAAAAAGGGGGTAGTTACATACCTTGGGGATGCCAATATGTAGTTTTTTAACATCTATAGATTCCTGGAGATTTACAGGTTGGTAAGAACCAGGTAGAGTTGTGGAATCTTTCAAATCTAACCCAGATACACAATCTATAATACAAGATAGACTAGATTATAGTCAGACATGACTGGTTGATATAGTTAAAAAATACCCCTGATCTCTTAAATCTAACCCAGATACACAATCTATAGAAATACATTTTGATAAAGATTTAGAGAAGGTGGCAAAAAAATGGATTTCACAACAAAATACTTAGAGAAGGTGCCACGCCTTTTCCTTGTATAAAAACATGCATTTCACATCCAAATATACCGGTACAATATTCATTTTGTACTAAGAAACTTACTAAGTATTGTAGCGACATCTTCAGTAGTTTTACCAATAATACCTGGTACATCCATAGAATTAACCAATGGAATGAGACCATGTCGTGACAGACGACCATAGCTCGGTTTTAATCCTGTTACACCACAGAAGGATGCTGGGATACGAGTGGAGCCACCTGTATCAGATCCAAATGCACTAAAATTAGAATTGATAAAATGTGGAGTACCTGTGAGTTATATGGACAAATTGAACCGGTTGTTATTTTACATTATCTCAGACACAAATTCCTTTATAACATGATCTGGACAAATACCTTTATAACATGATCTGGACAAATACCTTTATAACATGATCTGGACAAATACCTTTATAACATGATCTGGACAAATAACTTTATAACATGATCTGGACAAATACCTTTATAACATGATCTGGACAAATACCTTTATAACATGATCTGGACAAATACCTTTATAACATGATCTGGACAAATATCTTTATAACATGATCTGGACAAATACCTTTATAACATGATCTGGACAAATACCTTTATAACATGATCTGGACAAATACCTTTATAACATGATCTGGACAAATACCTTTATAACATGATCTGGACAAATACCTTTGATCTTGTAATAGTCAATTACTGATATAAGAATGAACCACAACAAACAAAACAATATAGTATTTGTATCATCATTATGTATAGCCATTGGAGCTCTGTGTTTAAATCAGTCAACATGTGAAGACTGAAAGACTCCCTGCTATAGCACTATTGACCAACATCATTACCGTAATTTCTTACCCAAAGCAGACGCCGCTAGCCACAGCTGCAGCTGACCCACCAGAACTTCCTCCTGTTATCAACCAATCATCATCTTCCTTGTCTGTCACATGACCCTTGCTATCTTCTGATTGGTTGTTTTTATGTCTGCGAGATTTAAATTTGTATTTCCAGGGATTTCTGACTGGTCCCGAGGCACTGTCTACACTTCCTGCTCTAAATATAGTAACAAGTTTTGAATATATAGATTGCTGTTGAAGTATTTTCCATTAGACCTTATTCACTCCTCATGTTGATCAAATCGAAAGAGAGGTCCATATTGCAAAGTACGTCATCTATTGAAAAGATGGCATCGTCATATGAAGATGTGATGTCATTAAACATCTCATCAACAGTGGAGAAGGAGGTTTAATAGACATCAAGGTGACAATTTTACACAGTGACACTATGTTACCTTTCTTTATATTTGCTTTATAAGCCTCGTTCTGAATTAACTATGGCTGATGCATGAATAAAATCTATAGAGTTCACAGAAAGAACTGAGAAATGCCACTGATTGGGCTAATGAATAAAAAGGGAAATTTTGATCACACATTGACCTATTTTTCTCCATATCCCAAACTTATAGTGTTCAATGAGGGAAACTATGATATGACAGCAGGATGAACCTACTACTACACCTACTGTATCCGACTGTTGTGGGATCTGCTATAGCACACAGAACCTTGGTTTATTATCTCATCCCAACAACTAGTTGCTGCTTTATTGTCAGCTCTTCTGAATGGCATCAATGTCAGGGGGAAACTGACAAAGAAACAAAAATATCTAAAGCACTATCTCAACCAATTTAAATAATTTTTGCATCGTAATTGACATACCCCATAGCAAACTCATCCATATTTGTCTTGCCGAGTAACACACCTCCATTGTTCAGGGTTTTTTCTATCATAGTAGCATGGTATGGTGGAATAAAGTTGGCCAGCATTCGAGATCCACATGATGTCCTGATTCCATTCGAACAAAAATTATCTTTAAATCCAATCGGTATACCTTCTAGTGGTCCGATTTCATTTCCTGGAATAAATCAAATTAATGATGGGACAGAGAAATAACAGACAGATACAACTACAACCTAATAACTTACGTTGTTGAGGGGCTGACATGGAAAAAGGCGTCTAGTCTTTCAGATGGGACAATAAACAGAGGCTCCATGTGCTACAGGCTGTACACGTTAAAGATCCCACGACAGTTGAGAAAGAGCAGGCTAATGCCGCTGTCCTGGCAAAATTGCCAACATGGTGCAGAAAAGTAGGACGTAAAACTCCATTTCATTTCATTCTTGAGGATCAGACTGTGCCTTGCTCAAATCTTTATCTTTCCAAAATTACCTGTACCTATTAACAGCTGGGTCAACTGAAATTAGAACCCACTACCACCATTTGTTTGACATAACCAACATTTTAACACTCTTTCCTACAAGTTTTTATATCATAGCACCATGGGACCATGAAATGTGGCTGTCCCAGTTTTGGCACCCCACTTTCTAAAGTTTTATCAATTTACATAGTGAAAGATAGGCAGTGACCCCCCTGGACAATTTTGAGGCCCCAGCTCGCCCCCTTAACTAGAAAGACCACTGGACACAAATAAACTGGCCACAGTGAAACAGGGTAGAAATATTAATATAAAATATTGAAGAGATGATGTGTGTTATTCTGTTCTATCAGTTGTTAAAATTGATTGTGGTAGGCTGTATGACTCGAGCTCTACGTCAATTAATAGACAACTTTATATCTCTCTTCATTACCTGATTTCAATCTATTAGAAGAATCATCAGCTTGTTGTCGAGCTAATTCTCCTGTTTCTGTTACAAATATATTTAACTCCTTCACTTTCTCTGATCGTTTTAAACATAGTTCAATCAGATCTCTTGCTGTTATTTTACCTTCTTTTAAATGTTTTAATACCTGATAATACAACAATTATAATAGATATCATTTCATTTCAACAGGTATGATTGATATTACAAATTACAAGACAACTCGGACCAAAACAAACCCTTTTCATAACACACTCTGCCTCAGACCAAAAAATGATTCTCTTTCAAGACAAACTCAGCCAACTTTTCATGACACACTCGGCCCAAAAAATATTATCTTTCAAGACAAACTGTTGTTATAAAAAGAAGGCCGAGTTTGTTGTGAAATATTTTTTGTTTAAAATAGGTGGGCAGAGTTGTCCCTTGATATCGCAATGATTATAGGGCTGAGTAGATAATCTTATCTGCACTAAAATTTGACAAAATATCACTACCATATATGGTGATATTACACATACAACGCTAAAAAAAACATGTTTTGAATCCCTTTCATTCAAATCCAAAGACCTTCTCATTCACACTTGATCCATTGACCTTAAATATCGCTGTCTATATATTTCACCATTATTAACAACAAATCGAAAGTAGAGTTTTGAACTTGAACTAGAGTCGGGTGAGTTTGTTGTCTATTTTAGACAATGAAAGCAAAATTTGTTCAGGTGACATTGAAGTCAGGTCGCTGGGCATCTCTCAACAGAGTTTCAATAATTTTAATCCACAGTGATTTATTTTGAATAGGATTAAAGAGAAAAGTCACCTCTCTGATCGGTAATGACAGCATGGCTTCTCTAGTGAGGTCATAGTTGAAAGGTCAAGTTCGGGTTAAACAAGAGTTATTGCCCTTTAACTAGTTACTACCATTATAATAGTGAGTACTGTAGTAAGTCATTTAGTGGTAGAATTTACTGCTAGTGGTAGAGTATCATAAATGCATAAATTCTTTCGTATTAACACGTGAAATTCTGCGTTCATCTACATCCAATCCTTAAATGAACCAATAATCACTGGTTAATGTTTTCTACAATGTTTCGAGATGTTTCTCTCGTCCTCAGTCACAGAATGATAAGAAGTAAAAGGTAACTCTATATTATATCAAGTCACAGGAAGAAAACACTACAGATAAATATTATCTATGATTAAAGGGACAGATGCATCATTTTCGGGAGTTGATTTGAGTCTTGAATAAATGTAAATATTCATCAGAAGTACAAGAAATGTTCGAAAATCACATAATTCCTTCAAAAATATCTCAAACTAAGAATTTCTTTTCCTATTTGAATATATGTGTATTTATGTATGGTAGTGTCTTAAGAAAAGACGGCTTGTTCAAACGCAGATAATTCTGTACATGTGATATGCATTAAAACTTATTTCGACGGTTGGGTTAGCTAAAAAAATTCCCGTTTTTGAGAACAAGGTTTGATTGGTCAAAACAAAACAAAAATGGCGCAAGTGTCCCTTAATAAAAAAAACAACTATATTATTAATATTGAAACGTTTTAATGAAAAAGAAATAATATAACTTTCTATTAACTGTAGGTGAAATATTTTAATTAACTTAATTATATAGCTGTTTTACATATTAATAATTAAAAGTTTTTCTAAATACTTCATAACGATAGAACAATATTAGCTTACAGTGGTTTCTCTCAGAATTTTACCCTCCTATATATTTCAGTATATTCTAATCAGACAATATTACTAACGATATATATTCCTATATCAGTATTTCTATTACTCTAGGTGAAATATTTTAATTATATTGAATAGCTGTTATTAATATTAATAATTAATTGTGTTTCTAATTTGATTTATCTTATCATTAATTAAACTATTTATTGAACAATTTTGTAATTTATTGTTTTGTCTCTGAATGGTCAACATCTAATATCTATACGACAGATAATCCTGTACCTCCAGATACCCTCATCCATTTCATTTCATTTATATCAATAAAAATACAACAATATACAATATACAATATATAAGCTATGCATCGTCGAAACAAAACTGGATTTGCAAATCGACTTTTCACCACTGGTTTCCGAATTTGATATACGACAAGAAATATACATTATAAGAAATCGAAATAGAGCAGGCTAATGCCGCTGTCCTGGCAAAATTTCCCTCATTGCACCCTGCATCATTAATCCACATGGTGCAGAAAAGTAGAACGTAAAACTCCATTCATTTCATTTCATGGTAGTGGGAATAGGGTAGGTAATAATCACAGACTGAATTTAACTTGTGTGTTGGTTTATATTATTTCCATTTCATTAGTTAAATCAAATATTATATTGTCAGTCTGTCTGTCGATTATTATAATCTATAAGTTTTAATCAGGTGGAATGACGAGAATTAAAAACACAGATATTATGATTCGATTATAAAATCAAAAATCGACAGGTTCAGGGACAGGTCAGGTGAAATTTGAAGAAAATATCTTGATGTATTAATGGTGTATATCTATGAGTCTGTGATGTGGAATCTGACTCTCTCTACTTCCTATCATTCATCAATACCTAGTGTCGTATGCAGCCGTCGTACCGTGACTCGAGTTAGATTTTATTAAATAAAGATAAAGTCAAACTTAAAGGGACAAATGCGCCAACTTTCGGGTTGATTTGAGTTTTGAATATATGTAAATATGTAATGGGGTGTAGCGGTATAAACAATTCCTAATTAATAGTTTTACCGTTTATTTAAAAACCCTGAAATATAACAATCATAAATATACAATTAAAACAGATATAATACATATCACAGAAAAATAGCAGATGATGGTAAAGATACATGTAAATAAGTAGTGTACACGCTGAGGAAACTAACTTAATGAAATTTAGTAGTAAGAAATATTAAAGTATCTACCCTGAATAGAGGTTTAAAGTCAAAACTAATAACTAATCTATCTACTCTATTAGATTATAATAATTATACAAACTTACAAATAAGATATGTATTATAATTATATATGCTTATTACTTAAGGTAAATCAAATAAAATACTATGATACTATACTTTAAAATCACACTCAGACAATCAGCTATTGACCTATTGACACAGCCCCACCCCACCCACCATATACTAAGCAAGCAATATAAAATAAACATATACCTGAAATACTGAAGAAGTATTATAAAGACAATATAATATGCCTAGTACAGAAAACACAAAACAAACTAAAACAATATTATAAGAGGATTGCAATATTCAAGTTTACACTTCGAAATCTAGAACTAATATGACAGACAGTGGAGACAGGTAACCAAGACCAAGTTTAGTTGTTGCTAAGTAGAGCAGAAAAGTGCTCACCCTAAGAGTTAGTCAGTCAACAAGCTAAACTATAAGAAAGATGTAATTAGTTTTAAGCTGTGTTGATTAGTAATTAGAATAGTGATAAATGCTGTATTTTATTCAAGTATACATATATGATACAATCTGAACTTTTAGTTTAAAACCTATAATGTACAATTAACTCTGCTACAAATAGTCTTCAGAAGTACTAGAAATGTAAGAAAATCGCATAATTTCTTTAAAAAATATATCAAACTAGGAATTTTACTCACTATTTCTATATATGTCTTTTCTATATATCACAGTGTATCTTAAAATAACAAGTCGTCATTTTAACATTTAAACGCGGATAATTCTGGATACACATGGATTTGAAGATTCCAATTTCGACGGTGAACTGTGAACACTATTACTGATTGGCTTAGCTAAAAACTTCCAGTATCTAAGACCAAAGTATTATCGGTCCGAAAAATGGCCTATCCGTCCCTTTAAACCAGTGATTGCAAGTTCATTATTGACTAAACCACGCCCCCTTATCAATAAATGAATATGTAATTTTAAGCATTTGAACACAGTTGTAGATTGTAATGAAACAAGGCGCACAACTCGTATCTACAACGTGGTCAATTAAGTCCATTGAGGTAGACTATGATATATTAAATAAGTTAATTACGAGTCCTGTCTCAGTGAGATTATATGAAATGGTGAGGCCTATACTTAATGGTTATATATCAGGATGTTACTGTCACTTCGTGATGTTTGTTGAGATTTTAGAACAAACCAAACGGCTAATCGTATAATTCACATATCATAAAACCTATAACCTGTATGTAAAGCAACATTAGGAGAAATCACTCATTTTCTCTTCCGAAAACCACCGTTATTTTTCTTATGATCATAAAGCTTACAGGCCCGATAAAGAAGGCCTTGTTTTTACGTTTTGGTCTTCTATACAAGTTTTACTTAATTCCATATATTCATAGATCTACACACAAAATCTATTTTATATCAAAAACTCTATAAATACCTACAAATTGCGTCTTTCTTAATAAAGATAACCATTGAGTGCTGATTCTATATATTTGCTGACTCATTACGCTAATAGATTCGAGATTATTTACGAAGGAAATCAACTCATTAAATAGGAAGTTTCGATTGTATCAGCTGTTATCTGTATTTATTCATTCGTATGTTTAATTTTTGTCTAATGGTCTATCTATAACAGCCAATATTAGTCTCAAAATATTCCATATACCATTATAGACAGTAAAAATATTGTTAGATTTGGACAGATTGTGACGTTATAGACCGGGCAATATCACACTGGGCGTTATAGAATTTGTTAGTGCCGAGTTTAAAGGAATATTTCTGATATTAGTTACAGGGAACTTAATTCATTAGAAAACTCGACTGAAACAGCAAAATGGCAGCAGGGAAATCCGTTTTAGATCAACTGAAGAATAAAACTATTGTAGTAGCGGATACTGGCGATTTTGAAGGTAATTGTATAGATGATATTTGATGTGTTGGACTCTCGAAAGCGTTGGTCGGGAGAATCTGAAATTATTCTTGACACTAAGTTGCGTCCCATTTCAGGGAAGTGTCATTTTGCCAAATTAATTGAACACGACATTTCACACGCAATGTTAACATCCAGCATTTACATTTACTTTGAAACCTTGGCCAGTGCCTTTATGAGGATATGTTCTCATTCTCCTTATACAAACATCGGACAGCATGGTAGACGACAATCCACCTTGCTACCACAATATTGCCTCATTAAAACTAAGGGTCTAATATATCAGACTTGATAATGGATACCCTGCATGTACGTCTCACTCCAAGGTTCGATATCTCTCTATATCACAATATTGTTTATCATTATATTAATATCAATTATATTTACTCAAATAAACAAATATAGTTCAATACAAACCTAATCAAAACCTCCAAAATATATGAAATATTTAAATACATCTAAAGCTATATTTTGTGTTTTGTTGAATCAAGTTCTTGCAAAATGCTGTAGTCAATTGTGTAGCATTTTTTGAAAGTTGTGTGATTTTATCTACAAGAAAGGTCGGGAATATCTTGGTTCATTATGTCAAGATATAACGAACTCGGCTTATACCTTGACTGCAATAGGCAGCTGATCAGAGTCTTTGACTGAAAGATTGTGATTGATATAGCTTATTGTTTACAGTCTTTCTATCAAGGGTTCTGATTGGCTGTATTCACTAGCGTACAATCCAATATCGCTTCATTTATAAACTTCCATGATATACAAGAGTCAAGGTATAAAACAAAGTTCATTATAGCTTTACATTGTGAAGATGACGATGATTTATAATCAGTAGTACTAACCAGTCTTGTTAATGAATCAATTTAAACGACATGTCAGTATTCAGGGGTATAAAAAAACAATCTATATTCACCCCAATAGTTGATAAAATATTATCTTCTCTGTCAACACAATCATGTCTCACTGGATAAATTGTAGGCCTCTAAGTAGGTTGTAGTGGGGTGGGGTATGGTCTAGAAGGGTAGGGTGTAATCTAGAAGGGTGGGGTGTATTCTAGAAGAGTAGGGTGTAGTCCAGAAGGGTAGGGTGTAGTCTAGAAGAGTAGGGTGTAGTCTAGAAGGGTAGGGTGTAGCCTAGAAGAGTAGGGTCTAGCCTAGAAGAGTAGGGTGTAGCCTAGAAGGGTAGGGTGTAGTCTAGAAGAGTAGGGTGATAGTTCAACTAGCTTTCTACTACATATTAAACTTTAGAGGAATCACGAGAGCTGCCGTAGTGTGCTGATTCTTGTGTACAAGTTGCACTGTTTCATTGACACCAAAACCGGTTATCTCATTCTAAACTAAGTGTGAAAACCTGACGTTATGATTGGTTAATAAATGTCAAGGACGGGTAACTCGACCGGAACTGCTGTAGTCTCGTCAAGTACAATTCAGTGAAAGGCCGGAAAATTAAAAGTTCATCGTGTATTGTATAATTATTCTATTATGTCAGAGGCTAAAAAGCAGGCGATGTCTTCCTTGGACCAATTAAAGGCAATAACGACTGTAGTCGCCGATACTGGTGACTTCGAAGGTTTGTTTTGCTCAAATTTTTACTCCAAATTTTAGTAGCGTCATTTTGGTGAAGTGTGTTGTAGTCCGTAAAACTCTGACTATAGTCCGACGTACTCTGACACTATTATTTATTGTCAATTTTTGCTGACTCAGCATGGGAAAGATCAAAACAAACTTGGTTATTGTTATCCTTTTAGTTTTTTCTACTCAAATATTCCTCATATGAATGACATGACATTATTTTGTCAAAAAAAAAACATGGCTTTATATTCCATATGCCTACACTACTACAGACTTATCAAATGTAAGTAAGTTTCGGAACTATATGTATGCATGTACACCACGCTTAATCCCTTCTTTCGCCTCGAGATAAAAACATTGATTTAACATGGCAGTCTATGGCCACGACGGAAAATGATATAATATAAAGGGTTTCTACATCTACAGATATCCATTTATCATTTAGAACGTTGTCTAAAGAATGTTTTGTCTGTTGTATATCACCAGTCTGACGATTGTAAATGTAGTAAACCCTTTGTATAAGAACCTTTTCCATAGACTGCCATGTTGAATTGATGTTGTTTATCCTTAGGTGGAAGTAGGAAAAGTAGCCTAAAGTTCCGAACTGGCTCATTTAGGCATTGAGTCACATCAGGATCTTGTTTCTAGGCATTGAGTTACATCAGGATCTTGTTTCTAGGCATTGAGTCACATCAGGATCTTGTTTCTAGGCATTGAGTCAGCATCAGGATCTTGTTTCTAGGCATTGGAGTCACATCAGGATCTTGTTTCTAGGCATTGAGTCACACATCAGGATCTTGTTTCTAGGCATTGAGTCAGTCACATCAGGATCTTGTTTCTAGGCATTGAGTCACATCAGGATCTTGTTTCTAGGCATTGAGTCACATCAGGATCTTGTTTCTAGGCATTGAGTCAGTCACATCAGGATCTTGTTTCTAGGCATTGAGTCACATCAGGATCTTGTTTCTAGGCATTGAGTCAGTCACATCAGGATCTTGTTTCTAGGCATTGAGTCACATCAGGATCTTGTTTCTAGGCATTGAGTCACATCAGGATCTTGTTTCTAGGCATTGAGTCACATCAGGATCTTGTTTCTAGGCATTGAGTCAGTCACATCAGGATCTTGTTTCTAGGCATTGAGTCACATCAGGATCTTGTTTCTAGGCATTGAGTCACATCAGGATCTTGTTTCTAGGCATTGAGTCAGTCACATCAGGATCTTGTTTCTAGGCATTGAGTCACATCAGGATCTTGTTTCTAGGCATTGAGTCACATCAGAATCTTGTTTCTCCCAAAGTTAGCTGCATTGGTAGCAAAATCACCTGAGTAAATTTAAAGTAAAGCATTCAGTCTTGAAAGAATGTAAATAGTGTACCAGTCATCGAATTGAAACCCCTTATAATTATATGGACTCTCCTTCACGACATGTGCTTTTCCTATCAATATGATACAGTGTTAAAGAAGTTCAGGAGAGTACATTTTCTAAATCAGGGTTGTCTTTGTTGTCAGTAAAATAAAAAAATCAGTACAAGCAAGACAATTCTATTAATCAAAATCTCATCAAAGTTGTATATTAGTGGACTCCTCCAAAGAGAAGTTATCATCAGGTGTTTCGAAAAGGAGTAAGCAGTGGTCTGCTTCTACAAGCGA